TAAGCCGCGTACAGGACTGGAGACAAACAGCTGCCCTGAGGAACGCCGGCTCTGATGGTTCTGGTTGCGGACTCGGCGCCCTCTACGCAGACGTAGAACTTCCTGTCTGCCAGGAAAGACGCCACTAGCCGCAACATAGCAGGAGGGACACTGGTCTGTTCTTCCAATTTAAAAAGTAATCCAGAATGCCACACCCTGTCGAACGCCTTCTCGATATCGAGAAAGACGCCCAACGTGGTGCGGCCACGGTTGTAATCGGCCGCAAGCAGGTGCAGCACTCTGGTCAGCTGTGTTGCTGTAGAGTGACCCCTCCTGAATCCGTGCTGCTCCGCCCGAAGTTGGATGCACGGGCGGAGGCGTCTTAGCAACAATCTTTCAAGCAGTTTAGCTATGTGTGGTAGCAGCGTGATCGGCCAGCTCTACGCCTGTCCTTCCCGGGTTTCGGCAAGACGATAACTTTGCCTTTCTTCCAGTCCTCCGGGAAGTGGGATGTCCGCAGGATCCCATTGTAGAGTCGACCAAGCTCTACTAGGACTCTATGGGGCAGCTGTCGGAGTGCAGCGTTGGTAATCCCGTCGTGCCCCGGCGCCTTCCTCGGTTGCAGGCGGGTTGCTGTCCACCGCAGTTCAGCGGGGGGAGATGAACCACTCTCCTGCAAGAGGCGGCGCGGGCGACGGCAGCAACTCCTGTACGCGACTCTCCTTTCGGGCATGAAGCTCCAAGAACTCCGCACTTGCTGGGTTCGGCATAAATTGCTCCTCGAAGTGCTCGACTAGGATATCCGCTCTCCCCTTGGCATCGTAACAACGTTCGCCCGCGTTGTTGGTCAGCGGGCAAACGGGAGGTTTGGCTTTAGTTAACTGCCGGTTCAGTTTGTAGAGCGACGCATCGTGCTCTTCCGCCTTCCATATGCGCCGCTCCCAGGCATCTCCTCTGTGTGCCTGGACTGCAACCGACAGTTCCTCCGACAAGGTGTTCAGTCTCGTTTTGATTCTCGGGCAGCGAGTACGCGCCCAGAGTCTCCTTAAAGCCCTTTTTCTCTTGATCTGCACGCAGATGTTATGCGGCAGATCATCCCTTCTGGAGGACATCGGGACGATCGTAGAGGCAGCGTTGAGGGCCTCCTGTATTGCCTTTGTCATGTTTGTGGCTGCGGCCTCTACGTCGTCCGCTGTGTTTAAGGGGTGGTGTGCTGGAGGTCTCTCCTGCAGGTATTTGTGGTAGAGCCTCCAGTCGACACGTGTCTTCACTGTTCTGGGCGGCGTAGTCACCGCCTTTAGGCCAAGGGTGATTAAGATCGGGAGGTGCTGTGATTCCAGGTCGTACAGCACCTCTACCACTATCGGGTAGTTGATGTTCCTAGCGAGCACGATGTCCAGTACATCCGGACGACTTCGTGGATCCGTAGGAATGTGTGTCGGTTCTTCAGGACCTAAAACGTCATAGCCGTATCTTTCGGCATCTTCAAATAGCGCATGACCCGGCGGGTTGATCAGTCTAGATCCCCACGCCGGGTGTTTGGCGTTTAGGTCCCCGGCGATGATGGTCGGTGTTTCGCCTTCCATTACCGTCCGGACGTCTGAGGAGCAAAATGGAGTCCCTGGCGGGCGGTATGCTGCAAAGATCCTAAGTTCCTCGCCCGCCGCCTCCATTTTTATGCCGATAGAGCGCATAGTCTGGTATTCCGGTAGGTCAAGTTCTTGATGGACGAAGTCCCTTCTCACTAGGACCGCTGTCCCTCTGTAAGCGGCCCCTTGAGAGGTGACCTCGTCCCTCCTATACAGGTGGTAATTAGGCAGCCTTATGCGTGTACTCGGATTTAACTTCGTCTCTCCCAGCAAGATGACATGTACGTCTTGTTGTTGGGCGACGGTGCGGAGTTCTTGTAACTTCTGCTGGATTCCACCAGGGTTCCAGTAGAGGAGGCGCAGGTTAGACTCCTCCACTGTAGTGCCGAGCCAGTAGATTAGCCAGCGCCTTCATAACCGCTGTAATCGGATCTGTCCCGGCTCTAATATCAGCCAGGACTTGACTGCCGACCTCGATTGCTATGCCAACCAAACGTTGGATGGCGTCAGCAGTCTCGAAGCCGGCTAGAGGTGTTCTAGTTGCGGATGATGGCGCTGGTCTCGGGTGTTGGTATGCTGATCTTTGCTCATGGGTAGAGCGCGCTCTATGTGTAGAGCGGGCTCTATTTTCTGATAGAGCCCTTTCTGGCACTCTACCCATTCTGGCTTTCTTTCCTTCCATGGTAACCTGCGCCTGGGCTATCGTTACCGTTGGGGTTGGGGTAGAGGTTGCTGCCTGAGGAGGAGGCTGCACCTTCTTCTTCTTCTTCCTCCCCCGCTTACTCCTCTGTGAGGTTTGGCGCTCTATGGCGTCGTTAGCGGGGGGCTGAAGAGTCGCCCCGGTGGTTGCCTTAATTGTGCTCATGGTAGGTACCACCGTTCCTGTAGGTGCCGTGACGGGTGGAGGGGGGGCAGGTTGCCTTCCTTTTCCTCTGATGGTGGTCCACCCGTCTTCCTGAACCACGGCCCTGGGACGACTTTGGGGGACCCTCTTGGGCTCCTCTGGGAGTAGTCCCGGTAGAGTGATCCCCTGCTTCCTTGCAATCCTCCTCAGGACTGGGCAGTGGCGATCGTTAGCGGTGTGGTTTTTGGCGCAATTAGCGCATCGCGGTTCCTCATCTCTACCCCTTGGGCAGTTGCTAGCTATATGGTCTCCGGCACAGCGAACACACTTCACTGGCCTGAAGCAATTTGTGGAGGCGTGGCCAAAGGCCTGGCAGCGGGGGCACTGTGAGGGGCCCGCTCTTCCTTGCCAGGCCTCTATGACGACTCCTCTCATGAAGAGGAGCTCGTCGACTTGATATAGTTCATTAAGGCGCTCCAGGCTCAGGTGGTCCAGCTGCGCGAAGTAGAGGCACCCAGGTCTGCCTCTACGGGGGGGGGATCCCTTTTACGTACCTAATCGGGAACCCCTTTGCCCTGATAGCCCCTCTATCGCGGTTGGGTCCGTGCCCACTGGTAGTCCCCGAATGCCCACTTTCGTGGGCTTGTCCTCTTCGGGGGTGTAGCAGTACCAGGACATAGCTGGTACTTTCTCAGTCATCTCAATAAGGTACTTTTGTACCGTCCGGAATTCTTCCGGACTCTGCGGGGTAAATCTTACGCCCTTGCCGAATGGACGAGCATTCGGTGGGTGGCCCAGTTTCTTATTTAGTGCCTCGAAGTGCTTCGTCCAATCCGGCAAGCACTCTGCAACTATTGGCGGGTACCTTTTCGCCGATTCTTCCGGCGGTTTGGGTGTTTCGGCAATCTTTGTCCTTGGTACTGCCGGGGCAGCTACCAGTTGGGCATAGCTGGTGGAAGGCCTCTGACCATCGTCCGATGGCCGGCCTGAAGGGTTGGTGGTAGGCGCGGATGGTGAATGTCCGGCTAATGTGCTAGGTGCCAGGGTTGCATACGTGGTTGCACTCCATCCGTATGACCCTTCTCCTCCCTGCTCCAGATCAGCAGCATCCATGCTGGTGTGTTCCGGTGTTCTGGGGGGGGGGTGGTTTTAGTCGGCGATGGTGATTTAGGAGGTGATCTTCTAATCGGCTCTTTCGGTTGGTGATCTGATTCTCCCTCGGATGAAGAATAATCCGAGGAGTTGGTGGTACTATAGCATCGCCTCTTCTCCTGGAGGGATGCTGCTGTTTCTGGAGGCGTATGCCTTCTCTGGGTCTTCTTTGCCCGCTGGGGTTGGGGGAACGGTTCCCGCCCAGTCGTACCTCCAGGTACGATGGGCGAGAGCGCGGTCCTCGGTGCGGGCTCCTTACCCGGGGAGGAGGGCTTCCTTGTTGGGATCTGAGAGTAGGAGGACACTACTCTAGTCCTTTCAGGATTGAACATGTCGCGGTACGCGATGGGACGATCTAATACACCAGGACGGTCGGGTGGTCTTCTGGGTTTGGGTTTAGGTGGAGGCTCCCCTTTGTCCTTATCGGACATGTTGAAACCTACCTAAAGTCAGTCAGGTATTCTATTTGGCCCTGTCTACTAATTGCCAACCGATTCGGCACAGCGCGACGCGGAAGGCGGAGTGTAATTCGTAGTTGGCGTATTCACTAACTGGGCACTGCCTACCCCTTTTGACAGCAAAAGGGTTTGGGGGAAGTGCGACGGTGGCACTTTATGACGCGACTAGGCACAGGATGCTCGGAGCGCATAAAGTGCCCAAGAATCACCTAGGGGCCGGTGACCTCGACGCCTCACGGAATCACGGGACTCAACGTTCGGCGGAGTAAGTCGTACCGGCGGTCATTTACAGCCACTGCTAACTGCAAACAACGCACACCTAGGAGATCCTTGATCGATATTTCCCCCTGGTGTTGCAGTTATTCACGGGCATCGGTAGTAACTTATCATCAGGTGAGCCGCATGCTCGTTTGCACCCTCTCTTAAATAGAATATATATATATTAAATTACGTGTCACGTTGTTTGTCCGCGATGGACTCCTAAACTACACTGATTTCATGAATTTTGCACACAGTGTCCAGTTTGGTTTATATATAGGATAGTTTTTATATATATATATATATATTGAATGCTTTAGTCTTTGCTTGGTGTAGCCTTTAATCTACAGCTATGATAAGTAGGAATACAAAATGTTCGTTTTCTCATCTCATTGTATTGTAATTTGTAATTGTCTGCATTATTTGTCACTGATTCAGATTGTCCGCGTTTGGTTATGTCGCATTAGTTTTTCAAATACACTATTACTTATAATGAAGTAAGACAGGGTCGGGTGGGATGAACAAGGGTATCTTGTTTATGTGCATATATATTTTCGGTAGTGTAATATATTAATGCAGAGGACATCTTTGCACCGTAGTTAGGAGAACGTCTGCGTCGCGTCGTTTCCTTCATGATTATAAAAGTTAGATGTATTCCAAATTCGAAAACAAAGGTACAGTATGTAAGTAATGTTTTGATGTTGATAGACCAGCTCTCACCTCAACGACGTCCTTGAGCATGAAGCGCCTGCGCTGTCGACGTCGTCGCGGTGCCGGCTCGGCATCGCGCTCGATTCCCTCGTCGTCGGTGTCGGCGCGCCCGCACTCCGACGTCTCCGAACCTTCCGACATCGCACCGCACTCCTCCTCGTCATCTGAAACATAGTATCCGATCAGAATTTTCTTTCATTTCCTTTTTCAATGATTATAATTCAAAATGGCGACTGTTCTGAGCGTTCTGTTCTGAGGCTTTTGCTTATCGGGAAGATAGCTTAAAATCGATTGTAATTTTTTTACCGAATAGACAAACAACAGAGTTTTTATCTCGTGCGGAATTTGGATTAAAACCGATTACAATATTTGTACCGAACTGACGAAAAGAGGAGAAAACTAGTTAATTATAGCGTGTTATAATAATTTTGACTGCTATTGACTGATTATCATTATTCACATTAACTACTTTAACTGACTGACTGTTTTTACGTGGTAGAGCCACGCCGCAGCTATATTATGGTTGTAGCACGAATGGGTCGGCTCGACCGGGGAAAGACCACGCTCTCACAGAATAGCAGCGTAAATTCCATCTTAGTCCTCAGGGGTGACAACGCATCTGCGTTTTAATTCTTAATCGACGATAAATGTGGATGTCTATGTGCCACAGCATGTGGCAGCAGCTTATTCGTCACCCTTATTCTATTCAAATAAAAACGAAACATTATGCTCGTGTCGAAAAGGGAATGGAAGAATAAACATGCTTGTTAAAATTACTTTTTGAATTTACAGCTTGTAGGAGAGTTGCGATCACTATTCTAAGTGGTTTTATACAGTTCATTTTTTTCTTAATATTAATAACTAAGCTTTCTACATAAAACACTATCAATTCACGTATATAAGATAAACTCGAAATTGCTATCAAAAGTTTCTCACTGATGTTGGCACCGGTATTTGAACGTAGATTGCGCTCGTAGTATGAAATTTAAAGTGAACAACGGCAGCCATTGCTTAGCAGCTTTAAATTTTATTTTAAGAAAAATGTAATTTAAATTCGAACTTTAGTTGTAAAAAACTTAACACAAGTAAAAAAACCGAAGGATAAAGAAAATCACGCCAATGGAAGTCCTCTTGTATGTTTTGGGAACTTGAAAATTTTATATCTGACAGAATATTATCAAAGAATACAAACTGGTAAACACTCTGTGTATTACAAAGAGTAAAAAATATATCCGGTGAAATTACATGTCATATCGTAATAAAGTAACGGTTACTCCCCCCGAAGACCTTGGAAGCCATGTGTGTACTAATTCATGTTACAAATCGTTTCGGTCACGAATCGTTACATTGAAACTGCTTTTTTAGGGTGGCCTTGTTTAACAACTGTTGAGGATTTTTCCTTCTTCTCTCCAGCATATCAACATCTACTGGTTCCTTAGGTTATGAAACGTTTGTTTATTCTCTTTTATTTAATGTTTGGCCGAATGAATAGTTTCAACTGAGCCGCCTTTAGACTATTCACCCAGTAGTAGCGATGTAAGAATATCCAATAGCCCATATCGTCGGGTGAGTGTCGTAAGAGATGAGAGAGGCAGACAGAGGGAAACCTACTTTTGGTAGATTTCCTAGCATGGTTAGCAACGTTTTCGTAATAACAAACAAAAAATAAAAAATTTCCAACCCACATGCTAAGCGTGGCAATTATAATAAATATCTCCCTATTAGGCTATCCCTATCTATGGGAAGGCCTGCGTTCGGCATAGGACTTTGATACGCTGTAAAAGTTGTCACAACATATGTTTCAAATCAACAAAATATTATGTTTCTAAAAATGTATTCAGATGTATACGTGGTAGAGCCACGCTGCAGCTATTATGGTTGTAGCACGAATGGGTCGGCTCGACCGGGGAAGGACCACGCTCTCACAGAATTCCAGTGTAAAATAGCAGCTTAATGATCCTGTGTTTCGTATGTTGAGTGTAAAGAACCGGAGATCCGTTTTACTGGAATCGAGGCATTCCATCTTAGTCCTCAAGGGTGAAGACGCATCTGCATTTTGATTCTTAATCGAGGTTAAATAAAGATGTCTATGGGCCACAGCATCCACTTACCATCAGGTGGACTGTGTGCTCATATGTCAACCTTATCCTATAAAAAGAAATGTATGTATTAATTTACATAAAAACAAAATGTCTAAAAACTTAAACTATAGCCATAACAAAAATGGTTGTGGGTCGCTGGTGCCTGAAGTATTCATATCTGAGTTACAGGTCACCAGGCCTAGATATTAGTTACCAATAATCACTGAGCTTTTAAGTTAAAAATTTATAAGTATAGATGTGGGTGCGAGAATACTTGTGTCCTGATTCAATTTATTTTTATGTCCACCCTATTCCTGCGATTAGAATATTGATCAGTTGCGTAAGAGCACATTTACACGATTTATGAATAGCGGGCGTTAACTTCATTCTTGACATTGGTCACGGATTAGAGGCACACGTCTTTGGCAGAGCACTTGAGTAGTTGACACAATCGTTACCTAATTTTGCGAGTGGTGCTGCCTCAAATGTTGTCCGGTTTCTGATTTTAAGTTCAATTACATTTTTAAGATATATAAAAATAATATATAAAAATTTATAAAAAAAAATAGGATTTTTTGTCATTGACGTAAATGTCAACTACCCTGTTACCTGTAATGTAACCTCTATTTCATATTTCTTTATTCTCTATACCAATTTTTATTTTATGTCTATAAACCCATAATATGATAATGTAATAGTGGTCTAAAAAGTAAGATTGATAAGACAGATATAAATTTAAAAAGTCTCAATAAATATTTTATGATACAATATACACATTACAGAACTACCTATATTATAGTGATATTTTTATTCTAAAATTAAAAAAATAAAACATTTCTCAATGTGTTATAATACAATATTATTATATACTAATTAATAGGACTTTTTCTTGCCTAAAAGTACATCTGGGTATAAGTCACGGCACGTAACTCTAGCGCTGAACGAAACGTGGAGGGGATAGCTAGATAGAGCTGACGTGGAGGCCGGAATGGGACTGGAGATCCAATCAGCGCGTGTAAACGATACGCACAGCCAATCATGCGCAATAATGCGCAATACAGTCAATTATGCGCGATAACGATCAACGCTAGACTTTCGTGTCGCGAGTTGTAGGTACCAATTTCTTACCTATTTCCGTAACCAAATAGCAGTGCTTGCACAGTTATATAGAGTATTTAAAGAGCCTGTATAATTACAAGCTGTGAGGCATTCCATCTTAGTCGGCAGATGTGATAAAGCATCTGTAGATATCTTTGTTTAAAATTGGCTGTAGGTATCCATGGGATGATGCTTCAACAGAACCACTTCCATCCATCATCTAGCTGTCAGGTGAAACAAATTCGTTTGACACTTCAGTTTTATAAAAGAAGTGGTAAAATTAAAGATTTTGTACAACCGCCTTTAATATCAATAAAATGAGAACATCATCAATGTAATCGAAGTCAGTTAAATACGTATTATTAAGGATAACTCAAAAACTACTGATCAGATCCTGATCAAACTAATATGAAATAGAAGAAGCTTTCAAATAAAAGAAGAATCATCAAAATCGGTTCACCTAGAAAAAAGTTCTGAAGTAACACACATAAAAAACATACAGTCAAATTGAGCACCTCCTCCTTTTTTGAAGTCGGTATAAATGTACATAACCAGTTTAAGAATAATTCTTACAAGAATTTCAAAAAAAAAAAAAAGGTTTCCTAAACGACTTGTGGTCTCTGTAGTATAACTAATGAAGCAACAAGTTACAGAATACTTATACACCAACAGGTAATAAATATGCGACCTTTTGGACTTTTATCTAAGATATCGTAGTTTGAAACAAGCCAGACCGAGTTTGTTATAAGATAAATAAGTGAAACTTTGAAATATTCATACGGATGTTTGCTTGCATCTTGTCTGAACCATAAACTTGTTAAGTGATGACTTTGCAAGTTTTACTTATTGATGCTTTAATTTCCAATATTTTCAGTAAAATCTACGGCAGTGTAAGAGAAGTCACCACCAGATTTCTCCCCATAGGTGTCATAAGCGATTATAGGATATCCCAAAAAGAGATAATCTCTTTAAATTGTGATAATAACCGATTTTGATGACGACGACAACTTTCCGATATTACCGGAATCGTGTCCCGATTCCATATTTCCCAAGGCATGTAACACAAAGCACAAACATAATAAATGTAGAATTCATGAAGATTTGTGCACTTTAAAAGTGATAACATAAATATGATAACCCTAAAGGTATCGTCATCATCATCATTACAGCCTATCAAAACTCTAACGATGAACATAGGCCTGCTCCTCACAAATTGGAAGCGATATGTGCAGGGGCGGCCTATGTCCATTCAATTCTCCTATGATGACTGACGGAATGACAGCCGCAGTATTATACTATTTTGAATCGTTTATTAGAAAGATCTTACTGCTCATTTTCTGTTCATTTTTTCATTTTTTTGCTGACTCTTATTATACACAGGATGAGATGAGGAAGTGGATTCACTTGCGCCACCACTAAACGGTTCTAAGCCACGTGGACTGTTTAGTCTTATTTGTGATCAATAAAGATGAAATAATACGAATTAATAGATATTTTAAATAGAAAGTTCAATATTTAGATATGTACGAATAGAAAGTTCATGTAACCATTGTTGTACTTAGGCAGACTCTGTAAGACCTCTGCAGGCTCTTTAGCTCGGCATAACAGAAAAAAAAGTTTAAAAAATACCCACTTGTAATACAGCGGAGGGAGGTTGAGAATGCTCATAGCATACCACGCAGCCGGCTGCGTGGTTATGTGGAGACTTTTACCCACTAAACTCAACCTTTTAGGAATTGGCTTAACGATCTGACTAGAGATCTCTAAGCCGTATACGAACGCGACCCTCCTTGGCAGAAAGGAGGGGCGCAAGCGGCGAAAAGCCGCTTAGAAGAGTGCCTTACTAAGGCAGATTAAGGGATGTGTTATGTAGGCTCAGCCTGAGCCGCCAGGAGGCAGTTCAGGTCAGCCGAAAGCTTGTTGGGGGGGGGTCCGAGAGAGAGTTTCTCGGTCTGCGCACACTATAGCGAGTGTGGATAGGGGCT